AGAATTGTTCTTGAAGAACTCAAGAAACCAGAAGAATATAAATCTTTATTTCAATATAAACTGCGTAAAAGGTTCTGATAGGAGTACAATATATAGGGAAACCCCAAGACTCCTAATTATTATTCCTATTATTTATCTTGTTAGGCAAGACAAATAATAATCCTAAACAACATGCAATAAAGATAATATAAACTAGGAAATAAATAATAAATAGATAACTAAATATGAAGCCTCTCGTATTTTTATGCAGCACGTCGTAGACAAAAGGGAGAATTGTTCTTGAAGAACTCAAGAAACCAGAAGAATATAAACCTTTATTTCAATAAAAACTGCGTAAAAGGTTCTTATAGGAGTACAATATATAGGGAAACCCCAAGACTCCTAATTATTATTCCTATTATTTATCTTGTTAGGCAAGACAAATAATAATCCTAAATAACATGCAATAAAGATAATATAAACTAGGAAATAAATAATAAATAGATAACTAAATATGAAGTCTCTCGTATTTTTCCATATAAGCGAATGCGGCTTCATCTGCATCAAAAATGAAATCATATAAGAGTATAGCATAACTACCAAAAAATGAAATTATATGTTCTATGATTGCACCGACATATTTTGCGTAAAATTAATCCATATAAAATTTTGAGTCCGAAGGCCATTTCAGTGAATCAAAAAGTTACACTCGCGACTCTTGAGGGAGAGCTTTGCCGCACTTGTGGTCCTACCCGGGTCGATTCCGGATTAGTCGGTTCCCCTGTGGATCCGGAAACCGGAAGGTCCCTGTACCAAAAAAAAAAAGTTACACTCGCGTGGAGGTCATATAAATATATTGGATAGTAAATATAAATTTAATATTTGAAAAGTAAATATAAATATGTAAATAAATTTAATTTTTGAAAAGTAAACCCCACCTCGATCAAGTAGTGTTTGAATAAATGTCGTAGAATGAATATTTCAAGCACCCAAATTCTCAGTGTCTACACAATAAAATATTTTAACATAAATACACTATACAAAATAATAAATTTAGGGAAGTATAAAATATGAAATTACGTTAATAAATACCATGGCTCACCATTAAATGAACTCAATGTCATCAATAATATTGACATTCTAGTCTGGTTCCGTCTCACATATACAATGTCTTGTGGGGAACTGGAACGACTTAGTATGATCCGTCTCACACGCCTTATGCAATGTCACACAGGGCACAAAGCATAACATAATAATAAGTCAAGCTCGATCCGTCTCACATGCTCGTATATAATGTCTCACTGGACACTTGACCTAGGTGCGAAGCATCGCCCAAAATTAAAAATATTTTTCCTTTTCTCATTATGTCATCCATGCAAGACATTCTATTTAATTGTGATATGCATGCACGTGCTTATGTAATGTGTCATGTGTAATAATGTTGGAAAAATGGTAATAAACAATTGTAAATACACATCAACATTCATACTCGACAAATCACTTTTCACATAGGCACTTAATGACTTAATACCGGTATTTTGAGGGTTATCGTACCCCAAAAATTCGACACTACCAGTAGTACTGGCCGATACGCTGAGGTATTTAAAATATTGCATTTGTCTATAAACACACATGCCAATTTGTTTATTTTATCAACAAGAGTTTTTATATGATCTTTAGCATTAACATGTTTATTATTTCCAATTTTCTTAAGTGTATTTAGGTAGTTAGCAAATTCAATCGCTTACTTTTATTTAATTTACTATGCATTTATATTTTATATCAGCTTTCTTGTAAGATGAGTTTAAAGTTGTCACTTAAAATCAATATTTTAAATATCAAACTAGGCGGCTCTCTTGCACCACAATTTTTACCTAAGCAGTCATTCTATGCGTTCAGCGTCATAATTATTAATATACAAAGTAAAATCTAACATAACGGTACTAAATTTAATCATTAATAAAAAAAAACTAATGATATTTAATTATATTCTATGTCATTTTAAAACTAAAAGAATGTACCAAAAAAAAAAAAAAAACTAAAAGAACGTAATATCTTAAACAGGGAGATGCTACAATGCCGTTACGGAACTATTCCATCGAAGTTTGTAACCGTTAGATCAAACTATCCCCGACAGTTATATGATGATCTAACAGTTACAAATCTCGACGGAATGATTACATAACAGATATAGCATTTCCAATCTTAAACATTTTGATTTACATAGTCCCCAACTAAAATTAGTCAAATTAAGCAGCGCTCTAGGGCATGCCACGTGGATCACTCCCGCGCTCCACATTTTACTCAATTCCCCGGCTCTTTCTTCTCCATTGTGCCTTTCTCAGTTCTCACAAGCACAACTGAAAAAAAGCTCCACCTCAATGGCGACTGCTACTACCCTCACTTGCAGCCGTTCCCCGCCGACCGAACGCCAGTTCGCCTCCCCAACCATCCCCTCACGTTTATGCCTTCGCCGTCTTCGAATTTACCGGAAGCCCCTCCCATCGCTTTCGCCACGCGTGACGTTTAATGGAAGCTTTAATGCTCAAATTGGCAGAAGTATGGAAAACCCTAGAAATGGTGGTTACAGAACAGGTGAGCTGTATAGAAGGCTCGATTCTTGCCTCGTAATTCCCCCGGCGAAAGGCAGAAAACCTAAAGCTTTAATCAAATTCCTCGGTGGTGCGTTCATCGGAGCTGTGCCCGAAGTTACTTACCGGTAATCTATATTTTTTTCTATCCACTTTGTATTTTCTATTACCGATTACTTTAATTATTTATGCATTCGATCTATGGACAGTTACTTTCTTGAGCTGATGGCGAGTGAGGGTTACTTGATTATATCTGTTCCGTACAATGTGACTTTTAACCATGAGCAAGTGAGTAGGGAGATATACAATAGATTCCATGCTTGTTTGGATTCAATTTTGGTAAATGGGTTGCCTGAGAATGGGATTTCTGGTGCTGAGATTGCTGATCTTCCTTTCTATTCAGTTGGACACAGGTGATGTGTATCCAAATCCTAGCAGTTAATTTTCATTTTATTCTGTTTAAGCTCAACTATATCGAGGTTTTCTGGTACGGTTATGGTGATTTGTGGAAAATGAACATGGAATTGAAAAGGACGTTAACTGCGTTTGTTAAATTTACATTTTAATGAATTTGCAGCAACGGTGCACTCATTCAAGTACTCGTTGGGAGTTATTTCTGTGAGA